ATTCAGAATCACTCTGCTCTTCTACAGACTCTCATACAACCATTTTCCCCAATACACTTTTCCTAAAAAAAGGTAACTTAGAGGGAAACACAATCGCTTTCTTCAGTTGTAGGAGGAATTGTCATCTGGAAGAGGTTTAAATGTCCTGTGATCTTCAAGGGCAACACTAGGTTCAAATGAAGGAAGTTTAAAAAAAAAAGACTTGCTTCAATCCAAGGATAAATTTCTAATCATTATCATCTATTTACAAACACAGTGAGCTATCTAGTAATAAAAGGCTGGACATGCAGAAGAGATTGAAACATAGCAGCAGTCTGGACAAGATCAGTTATCCTCACTTCTTTTATTAGACACTAGAATCACCAGGGAACTCCTGAAAAACACAGATTCCTGGAAGTATCCTAGACAGCCTAAATCAGAATGCTCATAATCCAGCAAAAATAGATCCCACATGACAAGTAAGTACAGATATCTTACTTTCTAACTTACTTTTTTTTAGATTTATTTATTTATGCATACAGAACTGGATAAGGCCAGAGGTACAGGGGGATTCACAGAGACAGAGTAGGGAGCAGAAGAGGCAGATTGACGATGTACACTACTGAGGGGAGCAGTGGGTGAAACACCTCCCAGGCAGACGGGGATCGAACTCGTGCTGAAGCAGCTGTGGCTAGCTTCATCGTCCTGTGCTTTAACTGGTTACCGCAACAGGGAGGCCCTTCTTACTTACTTTTAAACATTGGTATGAACTATTACATTTTGTTACTGAATTAAACAACACATCTCTTATTCAGTCCTGAAAGTATCTAGTACAAATTCACAACTTAACCAACAAGAATAAAGGTGATCAGTTAAATGATTTGTTCAAGACCACAAAAGCTCCGGTGTTAACACTGAACTTCTATACTCTTCTCTTTGTAGCCAAGATCATGAAAATAAATCTGTTCCTCCAACAATACCAAGAAAAAGCTACTTACAAAATTATGAAGCAGCTGTTCAAAAATTTTTAAAACATTTTAGGAGTGGAACTGAACTTGTTATAAAGATGATGGGAAATGGTTGGTTAAAGCGATGACTACATTTCCTAAGAGAATGGTTAAAGCACACTGAATCCAAATGTCCTGTCAAAAAAGCACTATGCTGTCATAAAATTTCAAAAAATGATGCTACTTGATACAATACCTTGATAGCCTCAATGGCATACTCCACTTGAAATAATCGTCCTTCAGGAGAAAACGTATTCACACCCCTGTAATTAAAAAAGGAAAAATATTCCAGAAATAACAGTCACAGAGACACTAAACAAATCCCTTAAAATCTAGCTCAGGTGGCTTCAAGATGTGTAAGCTGATATTATCCCCCTTTGCCTACAACAATCTGTAGCTATTTTTTGTACATTTTCAAGAAAATGAAACCTATACATGGCAAACTCTTCCCAGGAAGTCTTCAAACTAGTTACATGATTGCTGATGGATGACTTTTATCTCAATCCCAAATCCCCAAACTATCAGGCAACCCCCCACTCCATGTATTTACCCTTATTACATTCCCATATGTGCAAGCTGATGTTAATAACTTATTTTTTAGTAAAAGGCATTTATGGGTACATTTCTCTATTTCTCTGTATGAACTGGTATTGTTATTTTAACAACACCCTGACACCTGTGTAGTTCTTAAAACTTAACCTAGTTCACTCACTTAATACACATCTATACCAATTACATATCAATGCTTTTCCCTAAAATACTCCCCCACTTTTCCTTGCTCTACTGTGCTGGAAATCTCTTGGCAACACCAATCATGGCCTGAGTTATAAAAGTTTTCAGCTAAAAATATTTGAAAAAGTGAAAGTTATGATTCTTGGTTTACGGAGTCTAGATCTTGTAACATGTAACATTATATATACATTATATAGAGCACAGGGTTTTCAAAAGAACTGTCAAAATATAGAACAGAAAATAATAAAAGTTAATACTTATAGCATGTCTATGACATGCCTAGGACTGCTAAAACTCTTAAATAATTTAACTAACATCCTCAAAACACACCTATAAAGTAGTATTCTAACACAGACACTATTTTACAGGTGAGGCAGTTGAGGCACAAAAGGCATTAAGTACTTTGCTCTAAGCTGTTTAGCATGTGCCAGATTTGAAAGTGGAATTTTGGCAATCTGAATGGAGAGCCTACGTTCTCACCTATCTCACTATATTGCCTCTATGTTGGCTAAATAAGGGATGACAGAAGGTTCTCAGGATTCCAGCCTGCTCACTTCTCTCCCAGAGGTAATATCCCTACCATCCATTAAAAGGAAATTTAGGACTCTTTGAAATGATTATCAAAAATCACTGAGACAAAGGGGCGGAAGACAGGCCATTAAATTCTAGTTATACCTGCTAGCTTTAATCTCCTTAAATATAAAGCAAACAAAACTTTTTCTACCTCTACCACAAAAACATTAAGTACCAAATTGCACAGAGCATGAAAGAACATTGTGAAGTATTTTGTGAGGATAGAATTTTCACTCTAATTTTGGAGATACTGTCCTTCCTAATATAAGCTCTGCTCTGGCCCTCTTAAACTTTTCCTGATTATTCCATCGTTATCAGGAGTTACTCAACTTCCAAACAGTTATTAGCAATCTGACATCTCTCCTAACTATACAGTTACCTGAGCATTTCCACTTGGATTCCTCATAAGCAGTGAACACTCAACAGTTTTAAAATCAACTTTACCATCTGCCATTTCTACTTTGTTTTTAAAAGCCCTCTAGCCCCCCAATTCCCCAAGCTACAAGGTTCTGAATGATCTGACTCATTCCACTCCAAATTCCCCCATATTAATCATATACCAAATCAGAGCATTTCATATCACTCCTCCTCCACGATAACTTATTCTCTTCCTCCCATGCTTAATGCCCTCATTACCTTTCACCTATTATACCTGGCTTCTAACTGGTATTGACCTGCTCTTTCAATCTAACCAATCTCTATAGAACACACTTATGATTATGTAACTTCTTAAGAGTAAAAATTAATGGCACTCAGTTACCTACAGCATAGGACCCAAACTTCTTAATGGCTTATTAAAAACCATCTAATATTTAATGCTATCCTGTTTTTTTCCCACATTTTCCCCTATACATGTATATTACATGTACCAACCAGACCAGAATTTTTCCAAACTTACACTGTGCTTTCCCAATGCCCCATGTTTGTTCATCCTATATTCTCTGCCTCCAAACTATTGACCATCACAATACATGTTTGTTAAACTCTTATTCTTTCTCAAGTCTTGGTTTAAAATAGCAGCCCCTGTGTTTTCCATGATCCCCTAATAATAAGTGCAATCTTTCATCTAAATTCCCAGAGTTCATTTGAGTTTCTCTGATGACACGAAGACATACTAGTTACTTCTGTAAGATAGTTTCTCAGATCAAGGTAAGGATCCTCACTTTGTTCAGTGCTGTATGTCCAGCACTAAAACAGTGCCTAAACACAGCAGGCATTCATGCACATTAGCTAATAAAAAAAGGGCTGTATATAAGGTGTTCTTGGGCAAAAATTGGTAACACAAATCAATAAAGATGCTGAGTAAACGACCACAAAAACTTAATGAAGGCTTTCTGAAATGAATAACAATTTCCATCATAAATATTCTAGCTCAAAATTATTTTCCACACTCTGGAAGCTAAGTATTGACTAAGAAAGCTAAATATTATAAGGCAATAGGGGAAACTATCAGTTTTAAAATGTATATACAGACTCTCTAAGTCAGCAAAAAGTGGTTCCAGGTGATCAAACTTTTCACTAGATCAACATATACCTGACAAATGCAGCTTAAGTACTCTTAAGTTCTGTTCTTTCCTAAGGGAGGAGGAGGGGGAACTTAACTGCTATATGAAAATTTAACTGACCAAAACTGAAACTGAAAATAAAAATGTCTCCAGCGTGAATGTGTAAGATTTAGTGTTACTTTTAAAGATATCCAAGCCTTGAAGAGCTTTTCTTTAAAACATACTACAATCGCCTGCCCTGATTTTCGAAAACATTAAATCTGCACTTCCAAACACTAAAACTAACTTGCTTCAAACTTTTTTTTTAAGCTTCGGTCTAGTGGATATCAGCGTGCCTGGTAAATTCCTGAGAACCACTCTAAATCCCAGTTCCTATACAGACTTCACTGTACCCGGCAAACACTTTTGCAGAAACCCAGCATCTCCAAGGCAAAGTTCCCACTACTACCGAGTGGAAAACGAGGCTGTTCTCCAACAGGGGAGCTGAAATGACCAAGCCCACTGTAGAACAACCTCCGGTTGTTCATTCTTCCCCGCCCCACGTTTAAATTTTCTAAAAGACCGTCACACTCAGCAAGCAAAGCTGAGCGCGCAAGGGCTGACCCCCGGCCTTGCCAGGGTTAAAGGTCGGAGTCCGGCGCCTGGGTTCCCCAGCACAAAACCAAGTTTCTCGCTTCCGCACTGAGGGAGGACCCCGCGGTGACTCAGCGGCAGGCCGAGGGCGCCCGACTGGCGCAAGTCTGGCTTAGGGACCCCCGGCGGGCGGCTGCGGAGGGCAGGAGAGCCCCGCGCCGGGCCGGACTCGGGTTCCCGGGGCGCCCCATGACACGGCAGATCCCAGGCCGAGGCTGGGCCCCAGGGCTGCCCAGACAGAACACCGACCCCACTGTCCCCCTGGCGCACACACCTGTCGTACTCAGACCGGGTGAGGAACATGGTGACGGCTTGGAGAGGCGGCAGCGGCTACACGAGGGTTCCGAGGGCCCACACGAGTCCACCAGCACACAAGCGAGCCACACCGCCACCGGCCAGAGGCCCTACTCCCTATTGCGCGTGCGCCCGCGACCCCTTCAGCCCGCCCACCCGTGCCTGCCTCCTATTGGTTGGTCGTAGTTCCCGCCGAGGTGATTGGGCCAAAATGCTAGCCCGCCAGGCCAGGGAGGGCGGGACAAGGGCGTCCTTCCGCTTTAAATTGTGGGTGGTTGCTACGGGCGCTCGGCACTCCGGGCGCGCTGTGGGGATTCACCTGGAGAAGGTGAGGCCGGCGCCGTGCTAGGCACCCGGAGAACTTGTAGGGAGAGTTGGGCTGACGTGATAGGCTCCTCGCCCGCTCTCGCAACCCTGCCGGAGCTCGTAGGTGCGGCTTCCTCACTCTCTCCACGCTCCGAGCTTTTCGCGGAACTTCCCGCCTTTCCCGCACCGGTGCGGCCTGCGCAGGTCGGCCGGGTCCAGGCCCCCAGGGATTGTCCTGGGCGGCGATGGGTTGCGCTCCGTGGTCTCAGCCGTGCAGGGGCCGAGTCCATTCGCTTCAGCCCTCCCCTGCATGACTCGTTTGTCCAGAAAAGTTGGTGGATTTTAGGTTGTAGAAAAATCTTGAAATTTCGGCCTGGCTAAGGTAATTTTGCTTGTTCTTCCTTCCACCCCCCCCACCCCGCCCCCAGTGTTGTCTCCCGTAGTGGGTTCAGAATTCAGGTTGTTCGTCGCTTTTCCCGTCGCCAGAATTAGCTGGCGTTCTGCTGTGAGTCTCGCTTCCCTCCCTAAAGGGCAGAAAAGCAACTTCCCAACTTCATGGAAACATTGTAAATGAATTTTTTTTTCGTAAAAATAACCAATTAGGTCGTTTAATGGGTAGTATGTGAATAAAACGAAAAGACCATTATTTCCATTTCCAGTTAATATGACACCCTCGGTCAAGTCCTAAGTCTTTCCAGACCTGCATCCCTCAAGTAAAGTTTATATCTGATTCTACAGTAGGACCAAGCATATCAGTGTTGGAGGAAATGTGGAAGTATGCCTTATGGGCACTGGTAACTTTCCGCCTAAGATTTCTTTACCTGCCTTCATTAATTCAACAGGAATTTCACTTTGTGTTCCCTAGCCACATCAGATGATTGACACCCAAGTAAAATTGGGGAGAAAATCCAAGCAAAAATCCTCAGGGATCTATTAGGTTTTTGAGTGGTATCCTTCAAATTTCTGATCAGCTAATGTGGCTTTTCTATTGGAAAATGTTGATTAAACTCACTATGCATATTCCTTCAAAGTTCTTTTGAAATTACTATCTAATAACTACCTACATGCCTATGTTACCTCTATACTAGAGCATGGTATTTCCTGAATATCTGGTTTTGCAAAGTCTTCTGCAGCCTACTAATACCAGATATGGTTGTAAATGTCAAATCTCTTTATAAATATTTGTGCCCTAAATGAGGGGCAGGCACAGATAGCTGATTTGTGTATTTTCTTGAAGGAAAATGGATTATGATGGTATAACTATTCAGTACCCAGAATAGTTTCTTAACCATAATCTGTTCAATTTAGTAATCACTGTTTCATTAAAAACTGAACTGGGTGTCCCTTTAAGACAAATAATAAAGTAGTCGTAGAAGACAGAAAGGAAAGGAGTATAGTAAAACATGAGAGAATGAGCTAGATAGAGAAACTGAGAAAAGTATATAAATATCTAAGCAAACTAGGCACATGGATCCTGGAGCAAAATGAACTGGCAGATTAGTCGGGGTGAACAGGAGACACTGCCCACATAAAGAAACCAGGAAGAGCTGATACCCAAGCTGAATTCTTTAGGTAATTAATTACCTAACTGCAGCTATTGCTGATTGTACATAAACTATTAAGTAATTGTTCTTATCACTTAGAAAATGATTACTTAAGAAAAAGATATCTGAAAATATGTAAAATTGCTCTGATAACTTATTAAGAGAAATACAAAAGAAAACAGTTATTTCCAGGACCGTAAATATAAAAAAAGTCACCTTATATTTTGGGTATTGGCAGCAAAAGAAACTGGCATCTGGAAAGTGACTGTGATGCTTTAGAACTACCATTAAAAAAATCATTTTAAAAAGCTTAGTGGTAGCTCTTTGGAAAAAGTAAAATGAGAGTAATTACTTAATAAAAAGTAAAGTAATTGAAGATAAACAAAATGTGGTTTATATATGTGTGATAGGTATAGTGTATATACAATGTGTAACATTTACTTTAAAAAAGGAAGTAAATTTGGATACATTATACTAAGTTAAACAAGCCAGACAAAAAAGGACAAATATTGTCTGATTCTACTTACATGAGGTACCTAGAATAGCCAAATTCATAGAAACACAAAGTAGAATAGTGATTATCTGAAGGAAATAAAATGAGATTGAAGAATTATTGTTTAATTTCAGAATGAAATGTTGACAAGTTCTGGAGATTACACAACAATGAGTGTACTTAATGCCACTGAACTATAGTTAAAATTGGTCAGAATAGAAAAATAAAGGAAAGAAAAAAATGGTTGAAGTATAAATATTGTGTTATCTGTATTTTGTCACAATAAAGAAAATTACATTTTAAAACAAGAAAGCAATTGAAATATGAATTGACGACCAGTGCTATGACTATAGGACCTGGCGTGCAGGGGATGTTTTGAAGATATTTGTAGCATAAACAGACAAATATTGTCTACTTTAAACATCCTAGCTTAATTTATGTGTCACTGGAGAAATAGAGTAAATGGAAAATTAAATCTCAATCTCACATTACCACTTAAAATTTAACTTAAAAAAATGGTACTTTTTATTTTCTTTGTTGGGGGGGTAAAAGAGGAATGTTTGTTTTCACACATTTTTTCATAAAACACTGGTTGGTGAGAATGTTTTGTCCTATAGAAATGCACATCATTTGAACATTGTAAAAGTTCTCCATTTGCCCACGGTGTGAGAGCACTCCAATATTTTGGGTAGTTTTGTGCTTTTTTCAAAGGAAAGGAAAATGTTATCAGAATTGAAAACTGCCATAATTATTTTAGAGATTTAAATTATATTACAACAAAGCATGATAATTTCCAACATAAATTAAAAGCCTTGCTGTTCCACTGGAAGTAAATGACATAGTTTGGTGAATTTAATAGTCCGGTGAGTATTGAACATACTCAATTTATTAGCAGATATCCTACCTGGTCATTTTGTGTCAGACATTCCTGGGCAAGTGATAGAAAATATATGGAGAATTTCATAAGTGATTTCAAATCAGTCTAATGTAGGTCTCTGTGCTCTTCCTAAATATTATGTCCTCCATATCCATTCAGTCACTGTAAAAGGTACATAAGAAATCATTTTTATTTATATACATAAAAAGATATATTTGCCTGCTTCATCTTCTATTTATTTGATTTCAATTGTTTGTAAGAATATTTAAAAGTAAACAAAGGTCTTTAAGCCAAGGATATTGGGATGTTTGAATAGCTTTGATTGTTGCAAGTCCCTCAAGAAATAATAACTGACCGGTCCTGACCAGTAATAGCATGGCAAGAGAACTAATGCCATTTCACTGCTGCAGTATTGAGGATCCCTCTTAACAGGCAGCTTTGACTTGAGAACTACCCAGAAGCCTAGTTGAAACCTTAGATCCAGGCTGCAGTCTGAGACACTGTGTGCCCCATCCTTTCTTTTCCTTTTCATCCTGTTATCATACCTGTATCACAATTTACAGACTCTCCCACCTTCTGCTCCCTTCTCTTTTGTCTCTCACAGATATTTCCCCTAATGAATCTCTTACATATTGTTATGGGCTAATCTGTATCCTCCTCACTTCATGTTGAACCCCTAAATCATTCTGAGGTCCTCATCAGAATGTGACTATTTAAGGATAGGGTGTTTTAAAAGGAGGTATGTACATTAAAATGAAGTAGGTAGGATTCTAATCCTATTTATCTGGAGTTCTTATAAAAAGAAGAAATTTGGACTCATTAATAACTATGAGAATGATTTCCCTCTCTACTCACCCTCCCATCTTCCCCCCACCAAATAAAAGAAGCCAGACAGTGGCATTTAGTCACCAGAAGCCAGGAGGTCTCAGTGATCTAAAGACCAATATCTGACAAGATTGGCAACCAAAGGGATTTGGCTCACAGGGAGTTTTGGAGATGGATATATGTATCTTAGCCTCTCTAGGGGAAAAACATAGGCAGGAACAATAAACAAAACAAAACAAATCATAAGCCAACGTAGCCAAAAGTGAGGAGCAAGAGAAATATCACCTTCAAAAAGTCATTATCCCTTGTTCAGGGGCCAGTTGTAAGCCATTTTTCAGGTCTATAACTCATTGATTTAAAAGGTAGCATATCTTATAACACTGTAGCAAGTATAAATATTATTCCCCAATCCTTCCCCATTCCTTGGATGACTGTACACACTGGGGAAGAGGGGTAACCAGAAATTTTGAGAACTTTTGAGCTCAGGGACTCAGGTAATATCAGCATTCTTAGATTCAAGGCATTGTCATGGCACCTGGTTAGAGTGGGTGCTTACAGGGTCAGGTGGAGTCCTGGCTAAAGTCCAGCTCATCAGTTTATTGTGTCTGTGGACCCACCAATGGCCATCTTTCCAGTTCCTGAATGTATAACTGGAATTAATAAACTTGGCAGTTGGAGTAATACCCACATTAAATCCTTGACCTGTGTATGAGCTATCATCATGAAGGACAAGTGTGGAAGTATCTATAAATGAACCTTCAAACCCTCTAACCCTATAAAATCACATACAAAGAACATGAGGAAATTAGTACCATTATTAAAGACCCAAAGTATGAGGGGGAAGGGAGGGTAATTCCTATCACATCTCTATTTAATCAGCTAGTTATGGCCCCTACAGAAACTAGACAGATACTGCAGAATGGCCCTAGACAAGGCCAGGCTTCAGTAAGTAACAGCTCTAATCGCACCTGCCATCCTGGGTGTGCATTGGAGCTGGAACAAATTAATAGACCAGTGAGAAAGGGCTTGTGTTGAGCGATTTGTTGAATGAATTTTCCATTCTGATTATATAGGAGCATCAGAAATGGTTCACATGCATTTGGAATAGATAACAATATTCATTTACAGTTTTGGATAGGTTAACTCTGCCCCCTGTCATAATATAGTCCAGAAAGATCTGTCCTAATATGGTCCATAATGTAGTCCAGAACATCTCATAAGATGTCACATTGGTCTACATCAGAAATACTAAAGGCTGGTCAGACAGCACAAGCAAGTGGTAACTAGTATGCTGGAGGCATCAGGAAGACCCAAAGAATAGAAGGAAAATGCTATATTCAAGAACTTGTCACTTCAGTAAGTGCTTTAAGTGTCCAGTAGTCAGAGATGTGTGGTATCTCTCAAAGAGTCAAACTTGCATCTTATGGCCCTCCTGGTGGTGAAGTGGGTTAAAGCACTGCACTAAGAAGCTTAAGTCACTTGCGCATGAGTTCAATTCCTGCCAGCCCCAGAGGTGACCACATGGTGTGGCAGACCTCTCCTGACCTGCCCCCTGTTCCTTTCAGCAGTGTACTTCATCAATCTGCCTGTTCTGCCCCCCACTCTGTCCCTGGTGAATTCTCTCACCCTCCGCATCTCTGGCCTGTACCCCAGTTCGGGAATAAAAAAAAAAAAAAACTTGCATCTTGTATCCTCTACCATAGAGAAGGACGCAAAGGACTTGGTGTGTTATGAACTGGGCATCACATGCTTCACCTCTAAATACTGCTCCAGCATATACCAGTTAACACTGAAGGTTTCCAACTTTGGGATTCAGAACAGGAGAAAGGTTAGGCTACAGAATAATCATATCTGCTGTTTCACTTTATATTCCAGGAGTCTCTGGGACTGGAGGTGGTAAATGGGGCAAGGGCAGGTTGGAGATTGTGGTGGTGAATTTTATGTCGGCCGGGCCATGGGTATACCCAGATAATTGGTCGCACATTATTGTGGCTATGCCTATGAGGGTTTTTCTGGATGAGCTTAACATTTGGGTTGGTAACCTAAATAAAACAGATTGCCGTCCCAAAGGTGAGTGGGCCGCATCCTGAATAGAATAAAAATACTGAATGCAAGGGAACACCTCCTGCCTGATTGATAGGCGAGGACGTTGGTCTTTTCTAGTCCAGACTTGGACTGAAACACTAGCTCTTTTTGCATCTTGTGGCTGCCAACTTTCAGACTGAAATTTGTACCATCTGTTCTGGTTCTCAGGCCCTCAAACTCAGACTGGAAGGACACCTTGACTGCTCTGGGTCTCTAGCTTGCTGACTGCAGATCTCAGAACTTCTCTGCTCCACAGTCATGTGAGCTGGTTCTTTACATTAAATCTACCTGTGCCTATATCTGTATCTATATCTATGTCTCTCTGCTATTGATTCTGTTTCTCTAGAGAATTCTGGCTAAAGCCAATTTTGGTGCTATCAGTGGAATACTGCTGTGACAGCTAAAACCGTGAATGTAGATTTGGAACTCACTAATGTGTTGAGGCTGGGAGAGTTTTGAGTGGATGCTAGGAATATGGACATTAAGGAGTAGTGTAGTGAGGTTGCAGACAGAAATGAGGAATGTTATTAGAAACTGGAAGGGAGGTAATCCTTGTTATAAAATGTTATAAAGGGAGGTAATCCTTGTTTGAACTGTGTTTTCTAGTATTTTGTGGAAGGTGGAAATTGTGAACAATGGACTTGCCTCTTTCGCTCAGGAGATGTCTCAACAAAGTTTTGAAGGCAGGTGTTCATCCTTCCTGAATCCTTACATGAAATGTGAAAGAAGAAAGATGGGTTGAAAAATTGTTATGCAGTAAGGAACTGCAGTTTGACCATTTAGAAAATTCTCAGCTTACCTGTATTACAAAAAGTGAGAAAGCAGGTTCTGAAGAGAACACCAAGGCTGTGACTGAGTTATCACCTGATAAAGAATTTATTGGATTACAGGAGCAGAAATGCCACCAATTTGAATGGCCTTGGGAGGACACAGTGAGAGGTGGTCACCAGAAGTTGACCAGGCTGGGACTCTAATATCAGATTTCCAACCTCCAGTATTGTTAGAAAATAAATTTCAGTTTAAGCCACCCAGTCTATGGTGTTTTGTATAGCGGCCAGAGTACACAGAGCTTATGTGTGGAAAAATCACAGTGCAGTCTCTGGGACACTGGAGCGAGGCCACACCATCTGCAGCAGAAAGCTGTACACATTTTATGAACTAGCTACTCGTGTGATACTAGTCCTTGGTGGAGATAGAATACTTAGCCACAGGACACCAAGTATCCAGGACTACCTATTGTACACTGGGTTCTATTGGTGCAGATGAACCAAGCAGCATTTACTGTAAGATGAAAATGGTGTGTCTGGGGTGGAATGCAGATGTGGTGAGGGCATTGTAAACTGCACCACCAAGTAGCCCAGACCCTCTTTTCACCCAACATATAGCTGCACCAGTGTCATGACTAGCTGAAGGAGGAGAGTAAAGTCTGAGTTTGGTTTAAGGATGAGTCAGCTTAGTATGTGGGAGCAAGCCAAAATTAGATGGCAGCTGTACCATAGCCACATTCTTGAGAAGCTTTGAAAACCATAAGAATTCCCACCTTTCCAATAGGTGGGGCTCAAAGCAGCATTCCTGGCAGTCTGCTTTGTATATAAGGAGAAGTGGATCAGTATAAGAAATAGATACTTGGGCAGGTGACAAAGGCCTTACCCTCTAGTGGAGCCTGTGGGCTGAAGACCAAAGATAAGGAGGTAGAGTCATTTGGATGAATGCATAGGAGAAGGCATAAACTGTGAAGATTTTTGTAGCACACTTGTATCCTCCAGCAAAGAGACACTAAACAATCAAGAAGACAAATGATTCATCAGCCTGAAAAACTGGCCACTCTGAAGCCAGTGTGATGGCCACTACCAATGGGTTGCATTGTGTCTCCTCACCCCCATTAATAGGTTGAAGTTCTAACTCAATATGTCAAGTTATGACATCATTTGGAAATAGGGTTATGCAGTTATAATTAGTTAAGAGTGTTCATAATGGAATAAATAATTCAGTATGACTGGACCTTAAAAGCAGACAGCCAGGAGAAGATAGATATGTAGAGAGAATACCATGTGAAGATAAAAACAGATTAGGTGATGCAGCAGAAACTAAGAAATCTATAGGTTGCCAACAAACCACCAGAAACTAGAAAAAAACTGAAACAGATTTTCCTTCATAGTCGTCAGAAGGAATCAAATCTCCCAACATCTTAATCTCAGACCTATAACCTCCTGTTGTTTAGATGACCAAATGTGTGGAACTTGAAGACATCTCTAAGAAACGAATCCAGGCACTATGGAAGCCATCCATAGAGTAGCCATAGTGGCATTGATGAAGATGATGTGTGGACCCAAAACGAATGGACTCCAACCTTCCAGTTCTGACTTAGCTACGCATACCTGACTATCCCAACAGTCAACAACAGAGACCAATGCTGTGACCCCAATATGACACTTAATCAAGGAGACCAACTTGCTACTTGGTGACAGGTTGACTCGGCGAATTCATCTATGCTTCAGGGCCAATAGTTTGTTCTCATAGTGGTAGATACTAAATTTATCCATGGGTTTTCCATTCTACCCACAGATTCTCATCCCAGCCACTAGGTTATGGCTTTATGGAATGTCTGGTGCACAGGCATAAGATGTTATAAAATAGCACCTGACCTGGGTGCATCTCAGTAAAAGAGGTATGGAAGTGAGCCCATGGCTATGGGATTAACACAGTTCAGAAAAACATAAAGAGTTATATTACTTTCCAAAGGCACAAGTGAAACAGCACTTAGTGCTATCAGTCAGGATGTGTTAGACACATTAAATCATAGGTGGTTATAGTTCCAGTAGAAACACTACATGGTCCTCTAACCAGGAGTGGATATAGCATAGCCCCAGTTATGTTCATTCACCCATTAGAACTTACTGTGCTTCCCATACCCACATCTGGAATTTGTAGGGCTGGAGGTACTCTTCCCAAAAGTCTCTCCCTTAAAGGGCGTGTGATCCATAAGCTCTGACTGCTACTGGGGTACTATGTCCAGGGATTGGTAGGCAAAAGGAGGTGTCACCATCATGTAAGGGACAAATAACCCAATCAGTAGGAAGAGGTGACGCTACTTTTTACAGAATGCCTGTGGTCCACCTGGCATCTTTTGATACTCTCTTACTCCCCTGTAACTGGGAACAGACACATGTTAGTAACCCTGGCCTGAGAAAGGTATCATTACCAGGAGCTCAGAATCCTCAAGAATTCAAGTTTGGTTCATACAACTACATAAGCCCCCAAGACCTCCTGAACTAATCACTGAGGGAAAGGGGATGTAGAGTGGATAGTAGAAAGGAGAGGATGATTGTCAGTTGTGGCCTGACCAAAATGTTGTAGTTCATCCCACTAAGCTTCCCCTTCTAAGTTTTCCTTCAAGAAGAGAGACAAGTGGCGGCCCTCCCTGGTGGTGCAGCCAGTTGGAGAACTGCACTGCAAAACTAAGCCAAGCCGTGGCTGCTACAGCTGCTTCAGTGCAAGTTCTGTGGCGCGGCAGACCTCTCCTGTCTTGCCCGCTGCTCCCCTCAGCAGTGTACTTTGTCAGACTGCCTGTTCTGCTCCCCACTCTGTTTCTGGTGAATCCTCTCACCACCCCTGCAACTCTGGCCTGTACCCCATTTCTGTATGCATAAATAAATAATATCTTTAAAAAGAATAAGAGAGCCCAGTGGGAACCATGGAAAACCTTCTTTCCAAACATGCCTAAAGATGTAGACCTGGAGGACCAAAAATGGGCTGTGGTTCTGAAAATGGGCTACTTGGATTTCCTGCTGTGCAGAGCATAGTTAACTGATGAGCCCAGCTACTGGCCTTCTGGATCCACTGATGTGTTTGCAACTTCCTACAAGCTGTTCCCTGCCGATGACAAAACATGGTTATGTATTAAGAAAGGTGCAGTCTTTTAAGAGTTGAGACTTCTCTAATAAGCCACTTTGGTTAGAGAACTCATCCATAAAATTCAGAGTTCAGAGGGAAATTTAGAGAAAGTGACAAGCAAATGTAATTCAAATTTTAAAAAAAGGAAATAAAGTCAGAAATCAGTGAAACAGAAAGTAGATATGTGAGAGAAAATTAACAAAGCCAAAAGTTACTGATCTTCAAAAAGTTTAAAATTAGTTAGCTCCTAGCAGGCCTAATCAAAAAAAAGTATAAAGCAGCATTACTAATATCAGCAATAGAATATTGAACATCACTTGAGACACTGTACACCTGAAACTTGTACAGTATTATAAACTAATGTTACGTCAAAAAAAAGAAAGAAAGAAAATGAAAAGAAAAAAGACATCACTACAGGCCCTATAGATACTAAAAATGCAACAGGATCCTCCAGCTAACTTTATACTAATAAATATGACAATTCAGATAAAATGAAAAAATTTTATTGAAAACCAAAACTTACCTAGACTGAAACAATGATAAATAGAAAAATCTATATTTTTATATCTTAAAGAAATTGAATTCATAATAAAAAAAACCTTCCTACAAGAAAACTCCAGATGGCTTCACTGGCGAATTCCTTCCAACATGTATATTGCTTTTAGAAAGGCATATTCACACTTTCTAATGGTTATATATTACACACTCTATTTGTAGCTTAGCTTCCCCCTCTTCCATGCATCATTCATTTAGCACCTACTATGTACTATGTTAAGAGTTGTAGACACAAAGATGAAAAAGGTTTTGGCAGAGGGAGCTTTCAGGTTGTTGGAAGAAGCAGACATATAATGTAAATGCAGGGAAGTAAGTGCTAATAAAGACATGTATAAGTACTGTGAGGAATGAGGAAGGATCCAGGGAAGGAACGCTTTCCCATCGTGAGAGGTGAAATCATGTGCCATGTGCTATATGGATAAAAATAGCTGGGAAATGGAGGACAGTCCCTATTCTTCCTTACTAGATCTTTTTCCCCTTGTATCTTTTGACTCCACAGGACTCTGCCCTTGGCTTTCTGGTTTTCATTGTCTCAAAGCAGTTGCATCCACTCCACATTTGTTCCTATACAATTAATCATCCCCAGAATCAGTATCTCCAGGCTCTTGTCACTTGAACTTCAGGTCTAAATACTCCAATATCTACAAAACTCACCTACTCAGGGGCTTGCCACAAATATCCCCACTCTAGAGGGGGCTGCATCTCAAGTCAAATGTCTCTCTAGGCAGGACACCACTTCTCTGCTTTCCTTTATGCGATGAAACTTCCTACTCTCTTTCCATCTACTGTATCTTAACTTTTTAGGATACAGAAGACCTCTCCTGATTCTTGCTTCTGAGACTTCTGTTATCAAGTCAAACAACAGCCCTCAAGTCACCAAATCCAATTTTTCCCTTATTTGACCTAAGTAGCATCTGACCAGTTGGTATTTCTCCTTCTTTAAAGGTGACGTTTATCTGACTTCCACCCTGGAGCGATTTTCTTCTCAACACCCTGGCTGCTTGTCTCGATCTCTTTTTTTGATCTTCTTTCAACCGTTATTTTACTCAGCCACTAAGTATTGAAGTTTCTTGTGTTCCATCCTCAGGCTTCTCCTCAGATTTTGCTTGCACTCCTAGAAAGTATTAACCAATGCTATCATTTAAAGTGTCATCTATGTAAAAAAAACTCTTATGTGCTCACAATGTCAGCCTCAACCTCTCTTCTGAAATGACATGTATTTCTCTACTAGCTGTCCCATTCAGATGCCTAATATATTTCAAACCAAGCATGTCCAAAGCCAAACTTTTTAAAAAATAGGCTTCGTTCATTTTGTTTTTAGAACAACTCAGCAAAATAAAATCAAGTTTATTTTTAGACAACATACGTCAAACAGGTTCCGAAATAAAATAAACAGCAACTTCATACACAAAAAAAGGAAACCTTTTATCTTTGGCCTTTTAACCCATTTCACACAAACAAACTACATAAGAGGACAGCTGAGAACATACACAAAACTAACAGGAATGCTGGAAGTAACTTTTCTTGTTGCTTTGCTTTTCATTCGTTTACATGATTTTTCTCTAACTCTGAGATTATAATGAACATGTTTACACCACAAATAAAGTCAGAAGTAAAACAGAGAACACCCCAAAGGCTGGTTTGGTCACCTGAGATCATTAAAAAGACTGAGCCCTAACAACATGTACACACAAATAAAATGTAAATAAAAAATGCAATCACAGTTTCCATTTTTAAACTACTATTCAGTAAAAAAAAAGAGCCTTGGAAACTTTGGTTCTTTTTTTCCCCATGTTGTTTTATTTTTCTTGTATAAAAAGTATGTGGTGAGCCTGGGCCCTTTGGTGGAGACTTGGGTGCAGATATGGCCAAGATGGTGGGTGAATCCCTGATATGGACAGTTGGTGAAAATGGCCTCTTTCCATAGATTAAGAATCAGAGAGCATCTTGGGGATGGCATCGAAGGCTTTGGTGAAGCTGCCCAAGGTGGCAGTGCAGCCCCTGGCTGAGGTGTAGCAGTCATCAGTACTGGCCACCAGCAGCTTCTTTCTTGGGTACTGAGGCTGAGATTATGCCAGGGATGAGGCAGGGATGGGATGCACCAGCACAGAGCTGCAGAGGCCAGTCACCTTGCAAGAGATGATGTGGCTTCATTCCCCCAGTGGCACGGGGATAAAGGAAAACTTAGCCAAATGGCGCCTTGCATGGCAGTAGCTACTTCCCGGAGCCCCTGACATGAAGATCAACATGTCCATTGTCATCTTTGGTGGCAACAAATGTCCTGGACCTGATCCACTGGTTACCAGAGGTTTGTGTCTGCTGGAACATACTCCTTAAAACCTCATCATCAAGGAATGCCCCCAGGAAAGTAGTCAGTGATCTCAGATCCCTTGCCAGGAAAGGAAGAAGCAAAAGCTCCAGACAGTTGATCTTGACTCCTTAACCAAACAACCCAGCTTGGTGACAGAGATTTATTCTTTGTCATCAGCTTTGCTGTGACAGCCTCTTTGTCCTGGCCTTGACTCTAGACCCATCCTGCAGTCTCTGCAGTGCCCCACCTCCCAGGACCCAGAGGACTTCTGAGCACGTTTACAGCATCCAAGACACCCACCATTTGGTATTCCAGTTTCCCACCTAACTGAATTCCCCTCAGTTTTCTCCACTTCAGTAAATGACTGTTATTTGAGTTATTGGTAAGGCCAGAAATGGTGGGTTCCTCATTGACTTATCTCTCTTCTTAGTACCCTTGTATAATTCAGCAGCACATTCTATCAGCTCTCTCTTCAAAAATTATATTCTGGGGTCCCTCTCTGGTGGCACAGTGGGTTAAAGCACAGGACTATTAAACTATCTGCAGCCACTACAGCATGAGTTTGGTTCCCTGCTAGGGAGCTGACCCACATGGCACAGCAGAACTCTTCTGGCCTACCTGCTGCTTCCCTCAGCAGTGTATTTCAGTCAATCTATTCTTTTCCCCACTCTGTCTCTGATGGGTCTTCTCCTCCCCCCTCACCTCTGACCTATACCCCAGTTCTTGAATGCATAAATAAATAAATAAATAAATCTTTAAAAAAAAATATTGACAACCGTGAACTTAAAAACAAACTATATTCTGATCAATTCTCACTATCAAGTAAAAGAGATTCAAGATATATCTTGCAGGTAAAATAGATAAGGCTGCACAATAGAGTAAATAAGAGGGTAAGGAAGGTCGATTGTACAATTGAACGGCTGGTGATGTCATATGCTGACATGTAGTGGATGTGTCAGAGTGAGAGTCAAAGGAGCAGCAGCTGGGATCTGATAGGTTGGAGGTGGCCAAGTATGAAATGTAAGGGCTAAGTCAAAAAAGGCAGCTGAAACTGGAAGTGCAGATTTTAGAAGGCGGTGTAAAATCCGATGAGTTGATAGAGTCTAGGGGAGCAGGAAAAGAAAAAAGGTCTATTGATGATGTGGAATGAAGAAATCCATTGGGTCATCTGCATGATAAGGAGCTGCCCAGGAGAATGGAAGAAATTGAGGGGAGAGGAAGACTGTGAGCCAGGTGCTGTGTCTTCAGAGAATGAGGAAAATGGTCAAGAGGTTGGAAGATAATTGTGTTGGGAACCTCAGAAAGAACTATCACAAGGGGAAGAAGCTGTACTGAGCAGGAACAACCCAAATTTCCCCTTAACTGTATTCTTTGTTTCAGGTAATGAGGATCTCCAAGTATGTCTTTGAGCTTTGCAGATTAAATAGGCTCAAAAAAATTCCAGGCTTCATTGTTCCAGACTAAGCCAGACCCCTGGGGCTTAATCAAGGCAGAGAGGCTGGCAAAGTGAGGCCAAAGCGATGGGAACCTGGCATGAAATAAGAGTGGGAACTAAGAGGTGATGCTAAAAGTTGAAATGAGCTGATGAGGGATTACTAATGCAATTACAGGGTGGGGGGCGGGAGGGGAGGGAGAGAACAGGAGGAAATCTGTTACACTGAAGACTGTATTCACCACAGCACTGATCCCGTG